TTTCTTTTTAATTATCTGACGTTACAGATCATTTTAAATGTACTTAATTGTGTAGCACGGTTTACTGACAGTATTCACCTCATTTTAGTTCTATTAAGGAAGAGATAGATCAACGCCTTTGAACCCCCTATTGGTGATACAGTGACCAAGAAGTAAAGTTGTACAGCTGAAAAATTCAAACAAGAGGCGTTTACATCATTGCAGACGAAAGGCGGACAGCTTATTACTTATTACTAATACTTAGTACGTTGGCTCCTTGGTGATGCCAAATGACATGAGCTAAGGGGTAGAACAAAAGAACAAAGAGCAGACACTGAATAACTCCTTGGGCACCTTAAACTATAGGAGTTTGAATACAATTTATGGATATTAGGAGGGGAATTGTTGCTCATGGGAGGAAAATATCCGTGAGATAGGACCTCTCTGCTGATCAGAATGTGTTAAGCAAGATATGTGAGCCCATCCCGGGCTTCATCAGTATACTAGGAGAAGCAACCAGGAAAGGATCTCAAAGGTCATAAGAGCATCACTGAAGGGCCAGAAACTCGACAGATATGTCCCTAATGACTGCCAAGTCCACCGATACGACGACAAAAACAGGGATGGGCGCCACGATCGTCAACAATCCATTGCTGGTTGTCGTAAGTTAAATGAGCTACAATCACAGCCGCAGACAACACGATTCTGTATAACACTATGTATTTATCACTAAGTATCATCGAAGCCAAAATGCCTGGTAACGCCTAGAATTTTAATACAACAATATCTCGTACATATAATTTTTCATAATAGTATCCACGCGCCCTTGCCGAGTTTTTGGTGCAAACTGAAGGAAAAAACAGTTGAACTGGAATAAATCATTTAAAAATAAGACGAAAGTTGGAAGCTGATGTGATAAGCATCAAGGGACCCAGCGATATCTTTTTATTGCTTTTGAAGTGCAAAGACGGTACTTCAAAACAAGACATACTGGGTTTTCCATAGTCGAGAAAGTTATTACATAATAATAAAGCCAGTCAGGGATGCTTGCACCTTTTTTCAAAGAGTGGATGCTTTAATAAGGTTACGTTCTTACGTATCTGAGTCCATGATGTAAATGTCCGTTGACTGACTCCTGGTGTTGCTCTGCTATCTATTCGTAGTTTACCTAGTTTCGCGGAATTATTTCAAGGCTTTCAGCTGCATTTTGGGTGAAAAATGATCTCTGACGTATCCTCATCTACACACTCGCAATTATCTGCCGGTTCGTCACCAAGTCTTCATTACAGAAATATATGCAGAAGTATTTCATGTAACTGAGTGACTTAAGTGAAAGTTTACATTCATAATTGCTTATATTATGGATTTCTTAAGCCTCATACTGGACGGCTACCAAACGTCCATTAATCAGTGGGCTGCTAGAAAGCTGATGTTGCAAAAAACCGTCCAAAAGTGTCCACTATTCGTTCATTACAGGTACGACTATTAATTCATTACGCAGTCACTCTAACTTGTCGCAGTTTCCGAAATGTTTCTCATTAATTTCGTCTTCAGACCTTGGCTAGTGTCTAGATTCGTAGTCGGCATGGTAACTGATTGTGAGAGCGTGCAGTATTTGTATTTGCTGCGACATGGCACTATAAAACATTTTCTCGTAAATGCGGTCCCCTTGCACTTTAAAATTACATCCGCAACTGTATTGTGAGCCTCGGGGTCTCCATCCTGAAATTGCCAGAAATTGCCATTCCAGTCTCGCTTGTCTTGTCGGTAATGCATTTCCGCCTATAATATATGCTAACCCTTGAGCCGTGCCGGTGGGGTTCGAGGGTGAACCTGAACGCACAATGTAAATGTCCCTTAACCAGATCGCTGAGCCCCCTACTACTATACGTATATATTGTTCGCACTAACCCCTGAGGAGGAATGCGAGATGGTTAGTAAGGCATTCATGGAAGTTTTGACCTTGTTTTCATTGTCAATAAATGGTGATTTACTACAGTTTACTACAGTTAATCGACAAATCAATCAGAATTACACTTCAATAACCAAATCCTGACACGAGACCTCGCAATGATACCAGAGGCTTGTGTTTGGAAAAAAGAATAAAGATTTTAACACTACTTCGGCAGATTTACTCACTACATAGGTCACATAATTCGCATCTGCGAAAAATTATCGTAACATCTCATTTTAAAATCTGGGCAAAAAGCTCAGTGAAAAGTTCGGAATTTTGCTGTCTCTGTATCAGTCCCTAGAAACGGTTCTGTTCTTTAAAACAATTTTTTATCCCGTGCTTTCCTTAACCTTCCAATGTATTGCAACTTTTAAGAAGAACGTTTTAGCGAACGTACGCTTTCGATTATTCGTTATCGGGTCTTTACAGTATTATAAAGGAAACTAGGGTAACAACTATTTAAAAAGGTAATTTAAGTTTGCCATAGTCGATTGAAATAACGCACATTGCTGCCTGGCAATACAGTGGCCATCACTTATTGATTTCAATGGTACGTTACCGGCAACGGTTACTCATTGAGCGCACTAATTCGGTGGCACAATAATAAAAGTATCCAAATTCTGCAATTCTATTTCATTCCTGAGGTCTTTACAGTCGGAGTTGGTCAGAGCATTTAAACAGCTATTTATGAGTTTTATTTGTTTCGTCGCAGAAATAACGTGAGTCAGTGTATACGGATTATTTCATTTTTGCAAGTTACAATGGATTCCCTATCTCATTAAATATCTAAGGATGAGGAATTTTGCGACCGCAAAATGTTCATAAATAACACAGCTTATCTGTCTAATTATTAATGTTGTTTATAGAGTATATAGCAGAATCCATCTCCTGAGGTTACTGAAATATATTGAAGTTAGACTGTACGATGACCGGTATTATAACCCCACTTAAGTTATTTATTTGACTCGAAAACCAATTTCAGCATTTTAATTGACGCTTTATAAGGTGGGCAATCTACTGTATATATGTGTTTGTTCCTGCCGAATAATAAGCCAGGTGCAGGAGTACACCCCCTTTTACGAAATCCGAACTTCAATCGGTTTTCATACACGCAAAGACAAGTAGTTTGATGTGTCATTGAACTTTATTTTTTTCCACCTACCACCGCCTTTATATTCGACAAGGTCAATTGGTAGAAGACCGTATAGTTACTTCGCTAAAGTGCTAGTCACAACCGCAGCTAAAGTGTAAATGCACACCTCAACAAACAAAGCGGAATCTTCTTTTGTAAAAACCTAGCTTTAGTACACGAAATGAGCAGGTGAATCTACGTAAAACAATTTTCCGTGGACGTTGGTGAGAAGAG